CGTCTTGCATGTGAATTTTGATTACCTTGCTCAGCTCCCCAAGGCCCCTTGTTCAACTTTCTTGCCTAAATGAGTTTTTAAGGGAAAGAATAAAAACATAATTCTAGAAGTTTTTTTCACCCCTGGGTGAATTCCTTTCATAGTTTTTTCATACAGGGAAGAAGACTGTATTCACAATGTTAGTAAAAGGGTGAAAAATTTCTTTACACCTCAAGACTGTCAAACCATAAATGTCTATTTCTAAGTTCTTGGAACCAACAAACTCAGAACTCACATCCGTTACTTCAGTAAATATACTCACACTCACAGCCCAGCATCATAGAACTGCAGAATCAGTGGACACCCTGGGATGAAGAGTTAAAGAATGAATCTGTGGAAAAGAAAGAATACCCTATAGAAAAACACCTGCACAGAATAATTGGATAAAAAAGTGCAAAATTAAATTCATATATTTTACATTGTGCCTTTGGAGATTAAAGTAGAAACCTATTGGGTGGCCAGGTTAGGACTGAGGGGCAGAGAGGGTTAGACTTTTTATTAATTGGAGTATTATATTCCTTGACATCTTAAACTTCTAGCTGTAGAGGCTGCTTGTCATTTTGGGGTTGCACCCTCCCTATGTTCTTAAAGTCACACTTCACTCTTAGCCCCACCCTCCTACCTGGAGGTGAAACTGATTAGTTTCAGTTCTGTCATTTGTGACTTAAAAGGGTTCTGACTTCTGGCTTGTGAGATTAGCAAACCCAGCTGGGATGAGGAACTTTCTCACACCCAAACTCTTGGTCTGGTTTCAGTAGAACTATTCCTCCCTCTGCTGGAAGCTGTTCGCATTGACCATTCAGGTCTCAAGGAGCCGGTGGCAGAAACAGCTCCTGTCCCTCCCTTCCAAGTACAAACTGTTTGACCTTACTCACCTTACGTTGCTTCCGTAAGCCTCAATTTTTGCACCATTAAAATATTAATGTTAAAAAATGACCTTTCAAGATAGTTTGAAGAGTTAAATGGCCACATAAAAGGCACCTAATCAATGGAAGATATTATGATTAGACCATTTTAGGGAAGACGGCCAGCCTGTTCCTCAAGTTTTTCAAGGTTGTAAAATATTGTTGTTTTTCTGGGCCTGAGAAAACATACATATATTATGTCAACCTAAGAAGCTGTTTGCTGCAGGGTATAATTTAAAACACTGCTCAAAGACCAATGGAAATATTCCTTGGTCAGGGATACGATAACTAGACATCATCAAGATGTGAACTATCCCTAATTTAATAGTATTCCAATACATTTCAATGGCAGAACATTCTTCGTTTCTCCTGGAACCTGGGAGAAGGACGTCCTATAACAGCATGAAGCAACTGCTGTAGAGTAGAAATGGGTGCTGTAGGGTGTTTAGGCAGAGTGGGCCTGAGGGGAGACTGAGTTACCTTACGATGCTACCACGTAGTCGGCAACCATATTCTGGTTCATGAAGACTGGAGTTGGGAGGGGGATGGGACACACTATAAGACTCTCACCTATGAAAAGTACTCCAGTCATTTGCATGCTAACTCAGGCTCAACATATTACTCAGTCTTTTGGGATTAGGGATGCCAGGTAAAATACAGATGCCCACTTAAATTGAATTTCAGATAAAACTGAAACACTTTTAAAAATTTGTTTTAAAAATGAGACATTTGGCACACACTTATACAAAAATCATGGTTTATTGTTTATCTAAAATTCAAATTTAACTGGGCATCCTGTATTTTTATTTGCTAACTCTGGCAATCCCATCTGGAGTTCTCCCTTTTCCCTTCTTCCCCTTTCCTGGCATCCAGGCAGGGCAGGAAGCTTGGGTAACAGCATTGCGTCAGAGGCACAGCCTGCGGCCTGCACACAGCCCTTCCTGAGGGGCCTCTTGCCATTTTGGGCAGCAGCCTCTCCTCTCAGTGCGTCCTTTGCCCCTATGATCTACAGTCTGTTCTCTTGGTAGGATCAGGGTTCTGGGGTGCTCTAAGGACTCTGCAGCATCCTTTGTTTCTCTCATGGTTTTGGCTGTCAATCCCATGGCTTCTGCTTTGGGGTCCTGTGACCTTATTTCTCAGCTGCTTCTCTAGCTCTCTCATGGGGCATTGGAACTTTGTCAGATCTCCCTCAGGTCCCACTGAACTGAGGGAAACTTGAGGGTGACCTCTCTCTCTCCCCATTCCTTCTGGAAGTTCAATGATAAATATATTAAACCTTCATAGAGGTGTCACCAAATGGGTTCCATCCTGGGGGCTGGCCCTGCCCTGGCTCTTGACTAGCGCAGGAAAGAATTTAAGAACGAGTAGAGTGAGATCCAAAGCAAGTTTTATTTAGGGAAAGTTTTATATAGGGAGAGAGAGGACAGGAAGCCGGTCTTCTGGTTGCAAGTCTGACCGGGTGCCATTGCAGAAGTACATGTCTCAGTGGATGCGGGCAAACTCACGTGTGAATTGTGCACTGGATCTGGTTCCTAATATGCTCCATTCTGGAAGTGCCATGGTGCCCCTTCTACTTGTGGTGTCAGTTTTTTATTTTTTAATCTTTATTGTAAAAAAATAAAATTTTTATTGTTGAAAGTATTACATATATCCCCTTCCCCACTCCCTCAATTGATCCCTTTTAACCCATCTCCATCTCCTGCTCCAGGCCTTCACCACATATGAACATAGGGGTGTGTACATTATTTCTGATTGGTGTTTTGGATTTCTTAGGCTATATTCCTAGAAGTGGGATCACTGGGTCAAATGGTGGTTCCATATTTAATTTTTTGAGGAAACCCCAATAGTGTTTTCCATAATGGCCACACCAGTCTGCATTCCCAACAGCAGTGTACTAGGGTTCCCTTTTCCCAATAGCAGTGTACTAGGGTTCACAGGTGTGAAGTGATATTGTTTTAATTTGCATCTCTTTGATGATCAGTGACTTTGAGCATTTTTTCATATGTCTCTTGGCCATCTGTATGTCCGCTTTGGAGAAGTATCTATTTAGATCCTTTGTCCATTTTTTAATTGGATTGGTTATCTTCCTTTTGTTAAGTTGTATGAGTTCCTTATATATTTTGGATATTAAACCTTTATCTGATGTTGCATTGCCAACAGTGCCAACTATTCCCATATAGTGGGCTCCATTTTCACTTCTTTCTCAATGGAGAGATTTGGTGTTACTATCTCAATCAAATGATCAGACTTACCTTCTAACATGGATCAGACATTATGTGCTAATTCTTAATGTGATGCAATAAGAAGTATATTACATCACCTAGGTGGTATACTTGCTAAATATGTTATACCTGAGTCAAACCATGAAGAGACAACCAGTCAAATCAATTATAGAAAATTCTATAAGATAACCAGGCTGAATTCTTTTTAAAAAGTCAGTATCCTGAAAAACAAAATCAAAGGCAGGGGGATACTTCTGGTCAAGAGATAAAGAGACCAACCCTGACCGGTTTGGCTCAGTGGATAGAGCATCTGTCTGCGGACTCAAGGGTCCCAGGTTCGATTCCAGTCAGGGGCATGTACCTTGCTTGCAGGTGCATCCCCGGTGGGGGGTGTGCGGGAGGCAGCTGATTGATGTTTCACTCTCATCAATGTTTCTAGCTCTCTGTCCTTTTTCCTTCCTCTCTGTAAAAAATCAATAAAATATATATATTTTTTAAAAAAGAGATTAAAGAGACATAAAAACAATATGCACATGTAAACCTTGTTTGGATCCTGAATTGGAAAAAAAAATCCATAAAATCTATTTTGGGGGGCCATTGAGGAAATTTAGGTATGGATTGTAAATGAGATATTATTGAACTAATATAAAATTTTTGATGTGATAATGATATTATATCAGGAGAGTACACTTATTCTTAGAAGATGCTGAAATATTTAGGGATAAAGTATTGTCACATCTTCATCTTATTTTCAAACACTTCAGCAAAATTAATAAAACCAATGTGGAAATGTTAATAACTGGTATATCTAGGTAAAAGGTATACATAAAAGTTTTTGTCATATAATTTTACTTTTCTGCAGGTTTGAAATTTTTCAAAATAAAAAGTTGGAGAAACATTCTTAGCTCTTCCATTTGAGTTACTCATTCTCAGATAAGTTTTTAATTCATTCAATACAAATTTATTTAGCACCTACTGTTACATACTCTTATAGGTTACTGGGGAATGGTAATGAATTAAATAGATTGTTTGCTAACTTGTTTCCTTAATCATAAGCAGAGATACAGTAATAGCACCTCCACATAAGCTAATGCTTGTTGTGGAGTAGACACTCAATAAATATTAACTACTATAATTCAACTTTGTCTATTGTTGACCTACTTCTATCCATTTGACCTTTGGTCTTTCAACTGTACTCTAAATAAAAAGGCATAATCCTCCATCTTATTATTCTTATTTTTGTTAATATTATTATGCATTTGAAGTTTTGGAGAGAAGATATAGAAAGTCAAAACAAAGATAAGGTGGTTAGGGGTTATATTTTTCTAATTAGGCTTGTATATATGTGACTATTTTAAGGTTTAAAGTTTATATTCATATAGATTTTATTGATGATTATGTCCTGGTCTAAGATTGGGTTACAAGGTAGAAGCAATTAAAAAAAGGTTTCTAAATTTTAAAAAAAAGTAGATATTGAACTGATTAAATACTTAAAAACATTGGAAATTCTAATAATCTTGTCTCTGTTACAAACTGTGTATATTTAACACGTTATTTTTTCTATGTAAGGATTAAGAGCACTCCTCCCACATTACTCCACCCACTCATGTTTTCAAACGCTAATGGCGCGGTCTGATAAATGCACACTTCATTGCAAGCCCATCCCATAAAATTTATCTCTGAGGTCCAAAACTTCCCTTTCAGTGTAGACTGAGATCATAGCTCATAACTTATCACACCAAGAATTACGGAAATGCAATAATACTACAAAGACAAAAACTTAAAATTGATAGGGGTGACCCAATAATTAAAAGTAGTACGTGATACATTTGGGTGAAGTGTATTTTCAAGTGTTTATTAAAAAAAACCAAAACAGAATATTTCTACTTTCTGATTTTTCTCTTACAACTTTAGAGCATATCAAAACAATTATTCATATATTAGCATTAATATCAAGCATACCCTATATCTTCTGAGTTTTACATTGTATTTCAATACTTGTCTACTAACAATATAGTAAGTTGTTTTTATTATATATTCTGGGTAGAATTAAAATAAATAACACACAAATAATTTAATATTTTTTATGGAATACCTACTATGTTCCAGGCTTTGGGAACACAAAAATAAATAAATGGTCCCTGCCATCAAAAATCTCACAGTTTAAAGGGGGAGACAGACAGATAAACAGACAAATTTAATGTAGCGTGGCAGCCTTGAGAATGGCATGCACAAAGAACTATGGGGAACCTTCAGAGGGCCACTTAATCCAGAATGGTAGAAGTTAGGGATGGTGTCCAGATCAAGATGATAAGTTTTACAAAAGAGGTTGCCAAGAAAAGAATGAATGGGGGAGGGGGTGATAGGAAGCACATTCCTAAAGAGGGGGTTGCCAAATAGTCTTAGAGACTGGACTGCCTGATCTTTAAGGCCCCTTCCAACTCTAAGAAGACGATAAGAGACAAGCACTCATCCCCTGCTTGATTCAACAAAGAGAATTTGTAGAGAATGGGGCATCTTTCTGATATTTGCCTATTTGTTAAACACTGGTTTCCTGGATCCTTATTTTTCATGCTATAGAGCACAGTGTAAGAAGAAAACCCCATCCTAACTAAAATCTTTTGTAGACAGACACCTTCTACTATGGTGCTGGCCACAGATTCAGAATGAACAATCTGGTAGAGTGTATACCATGGCACCTACTTTTAAGAAAAAGAGAACAAACATTAAATTAAAGGTTACTGGAAAGCTATAAACTTTAACAAAGTCAGGTATTTAGGGTTCTCTGAAACAATATTTTTCTTCTACATGTGGAGAAAACAAAAAGGAGCTGACCTTTGTCTTAGTTATCTATGAGTAAAACACTAGATGGTGCTATAAGATGGGCAGAAAGAGAGCTTTGCTAAGAAAAATAGAATGGCAGTTCTGATGGTAGTTAAGCATTCTGAATATTTTCCATAACTCTTCAGTCTCAGAACAAGTTTTAGCCCCATGGTCAGATTAATTTGAAACTAAACCACAAATCTAGCACATTTTATAATGGTTTCAATGTTTATCAGTTCAATCCGATTTCACTGAAATGGAAAACTTAAAGTTATTGAAATATAAATTTACTATACATTTAAACATATTGCTATTAATTTAATTTAGGTTATCTTCCCATGAGCCTAGTTATGACTACTATTCAATGATCTCTAAGACAGCTTCTTCAAATGGTTTCCTGAATTTTTGAATTATTATTAATCAGAAAATGCCAAACTCTCTTATCATTCAAGTACCACAATATACTGACACAAATACATGAAACAATACATTTTGGAATTACTCTACTGGCACATCATTTCTTATATAAAAAACATTTCATGATTTGTCACGTTACATTAAAACCAGAAAAATATTTTTTACTGAAGTGGCAAGTAAAAACAAAGCTTTACTTTTACAATATTTTCTATTTTTAAATGTTAAATATTTTAAAAGGCACATAACAACAACAACAACAAAAAAGAATGGGTAAAGAGATACCTTTTGCAACCTAAGAGTCATTTTAGGTTTAAATTCTCACAGTTATGAAATCTGTTTGTGATTTGGTCTTTTCAGTTCTGCTTCTAGAATTTCCCCCCACGTTTCTGCATCCATTGGGCACATGATTGTTTCTGGTAGGCTAATAGGAGAACATATGTTGCTGTATCTGCCACTTAGCCATCCAAGTTTCACTTGACTCTTCTGGTAATTCCTCAGTAGTATGTCCTGAAAGAGGCAAAGCAGCATCACAGAAGGTAGTAGGTTGCTGCCTGATGAGATGAGTTTGTTTGAAACCAGAGAAGCTGATTGACAGGGCTGAAAAGAAGATTAAATTTTTACACTGATATACACATATACTACTAAATTTGTGTGTGTGTGTGTGTGTGTGTGTGTGTGTGTATACAGTGTGAACCATAGAGTTTGCTGGGAGTTTTGGATAATAAGAAGTGAAAAGAAGTAGCCACTTTCCTTCTGGCTAACAGAGGAAAATGCCTTAATTTAAGATTGAAAAAATGTTAAAGGATGGATGGGAGATAGTATGGGTTGCAGGAAAAGAATAATAATTCAACTTTAAGTTCAAAAGTCAACAAACACACTTGAATGTCATTCTGTATATGGAATCCTACCTCATCCAAGCAGAAAGCAGAGTTTGGTTCACACCTACCACCGTGTACTTAAGAATACTGCAGACCACAAAAATTATACTTACCCTCCAGGAATAACCGCTTTTCCGATCATCATCTACTTCTCTTCTGCACACAGCTCGTACAGCCAAGCAATGAGGTTTCCATAAGCGGTCATTGTTTCTTATTGTGGCAAACCAGCTCATGCATGTCATTGAAGCCCTGCACAAACTCTGAATGTCCAGCTGACTGAATATGTATAAAGTAACTTCTTGAGGCAGCCACATAAAAAAGTTATTTTGATTCATTTTTTTCCTTCTCAGTATCCACAGAGTTCAAGTCTATATCAGAAACTCTTGAATTATGGTTCCTCTTGAAGTTATTCTGCATAGCTTGATGTTTTAGTTAATTATCTGCATAGGTAATCTAAAAGGCAGAGTTTAAACTTATTCAGTCTCTTCAGTTCAGACTATGGGTCCCACTCTGAGCCAGGTAACTGTTTGGGCATGATTTTAAAAACCTTAACTTTCTTGACTTGAGCTTTTCAATCTGTAAAATGAGGTCAAAAATGGTCTTCACGTGTATGTCCTTGCTAGGATTAACAAGGAAAACGTGTGAATCATCTAGTTTCACATCTGAATTGCACACTGGGGATACTGGACAAATGTTACTTCTCGTCTTCTTTTTAACATTGTTAGTAAATGGGTTTTCTAGTAAACATGTGTCTTTCTGCTTGCTCCCAAAGAACATTATCTTAAAAAAGACTATGATTTATTGAGTTTAGTAGAAATGCCTATTGTGAGAACACATTCCAACTACTTATTGAAAATAGCTTCAAAATGTGTAGGATTCAATTCTATTAAGCTCCTGAATACTCACTGTCTGTGGGAACTGATGCCTTGTCATTAAGGTCTTCACCTACAATTTGCAACCTCATCATAAACCTGATGGATATTTAGCAGTTTATATAAGAACTAGAGGCCCGGTGCACAAAAATTTGTGCACTCGGGAAGGGGAAAGGGGGTCCCTCAGCCTGGCCTGTGCCCTCTCGCAGTCTGGGACCCCTCAGGGGATGACCACCTGCTGGCTTAGGCCCACTCCCTGGGGGATTGGGCCTAAGATGGCAATCAGACATCCCTCTGGCAGCCCGGCAGCCCTTGGGGGATGTCCACTTGCCAGCAGGGAGGAGGCCTAAACTGCAGTCGGACATCCTTAGTGCTGCTGAGGAGGCAGCAAAGGCTCCCACCACCACCGCTGTACTGGCAGCCATCAGCCTGGCTTGTGGCTGAACAGAGCTCCTCCCATGTGAGAGCGCCCTGACCACCAGAGGGCAGCTCCTGCATTGAGCGTCTGCCCCGTTGTGGTCAGTGTGACCACACATTCCCAGTCCTTCTGCTGTTAGGGTCAGTTTGCATATTACCCTTTTACTATATAGGATAGAGGCCTGGTGCATGGGTGGGGGCCGGCTGGTTTGCCCTGAAGGGTGTCCCGGATCAGGGTGGGGGTCCCCACTGGGGTTCCTGGCCAGTCTGGGTGAGGGCTGTTTTCAGGCTGGCGGGTGACTGAAGCTCCCAACCTCTCCTTTTTTTCTTTTTCTTTTTCTTTTTTATTCTGGGATTTATTTACCTTCTATGGCTTTCACTGGAACTGAGAGCCGGCTTTAGCTCTGAGGCTTGGCTCCAGCTCTGAGACCTTGGCTGCTGAAAGCAGGTATCTGGATTTATTTACCTTCTATAATTGAAACACTGTTGCAGCTCCAGCTCTGAGGCCGGCTGGCTGAAAGCAGGTTTCTGGGGTTTGTTTAGCTTCTATAATTGCAACATTGTTTCTTAGAGTGCAGCTCAGAGGCCGGTGGGGAACCTTGGCTTCCTCCATCACTGGAGCAAGCAAGCCTCCTGTTCGCTTCAGCTGCCTGGCTGCCGCTGCCATCTTGGTTGGCAGTTAATTTGCATATCACCCTAATTAGCCAATGGGAAGAGTAGTGAAGTTACGGTTAATTATCATGTTTCTCTATTATTAGATAGGATTGTTTATCAACTTGTACCTAATGGGTAGGTGCTCACATTAGACACAGATACTATCTGAAATGGATAAGAGGTTGAGGTCAGGGTTACAACGACACAAAGTCTCAAATATTCAATTCCATGATAAGATGAGTGTTTTAGAAATGGCCTCGTGAAGCTATCCTACTTGCACAATTAATTATAAACCAAGGATAATAATCACTGAGGCAATCAAGCACCAGTGACCAACCACTATAATGTTTATTATTCAGTTAGGTACAGCATGTAACTACTGATTGGGTGGTGAACTCACAATACCATATACAGATAATATATTATAGAATTGTACCCCTGGAACCTATATAATTTTATTGACCAATGTCACCCCAATAAATTCAATAAAATATTGAAAATAAATAAATACACAAAAACTAATCTTGTACCTTTATTTCTACCAATTACTATATTGAAAGTGTCCTGTATAAATGTAATTATAAGTTAAGCTAATGCATAAAGTATTTTTTTTTTTCCTAACTGAAAAAAAAGTCCAGTTTTGGCTAATTTACCTGAGGCGCACGGTGCAGGCTTCCAAAATCAGTTGAAATAGCATGGAGCTATTTTTGCATATGAAGACAGCTTATACTTACTTAAAATTAGTTTATTTCATTTAGCACTTACTTGTATAATAGGGATTGATGGTGTTGGAGGAGTTTGAGATACAGCTAAATATTTCTTTAACTTAGCTCATGACAATTCCCCATTTCCAAATGAACTATTCACCTACATGTTCTGGACGTACCAAGGTCACAGTTGCTCCCGTTCAGTTGGTTGTTTATAATCCAAAGTAACTATGCTGGCGAGAGTTTTAATGCCTGTTTCAACAGAGGACTTCCTCTTGAGGCTTTGGGGAAGTAAAAAAACCAAAGAGGTAAAAACAAGATTTATGAGTCATCCCCAAGTTTTTGCCATGCACCACCCCTCCCGTCTCATCATCAATACAAACCAAAGCCAAATTACCATATTCTTGAAAAGAATCTCATATTAGGAGAACACTGCTATTTGTTACTACTTCCAGGATCTCACTGGGGAATAAAATGCGCCTTCTCATTAGTTACTCCACAGGAGGCAGAAAAAGGCTTTTGAATTTGTGAGGTTCCTAAAATCCCACTAGACATCTTTCTTATGAGTCCAGTTTTGCCTGGATGCCTAGAAAACTATCCCCTTTCTGCCTGTTCCTTACGAACCAAACTGCCGAATTACCTCTCGAGTTAGGGAAGGGCTCGCCCCCGTTCAGGTGTCACTCGGACGGAGATGGATCCGGAGGCAGGACAGACCTGGCCGCGGGCGCCTCCCGGCTCTCGGGAAGCCCCCCACCCTGTCCAGACCCTGTAAGTCGGAAGAAGTGACCTCGCGTTCCCTCTGAGCCCCTCTTTTTGCGTGCCCCACGCAGGCTGCAGCTGACAGCTCAAAGAACACAGCTGACAATAACAGCTCTGAGCACCGGCTGTCACTTCAGCTCTGCGGCGCTGAGCGGAGGCGGCGCTGGCGCAGGGGCCACGTCCCCTAGACAGCCGGCCGGATGCTGGCTGGACGGGAAGGAATGACCTTACCTGCTGGAAGGTGCCGGCTTCTCCTCCAGCGGTTTAAATCCTCTGGCCACAGAATCCCATCCCTGAGTCCCCCTGGCCCCGCCCACTCTAGCCCGTCCTTGCTGACTCTGATTTCGCGTAGGCATGAAGAGGAGCGCGCATTGCCTTTTGGGATCGGTAGTTTTACTAGGGCGTCTCCGCTGAGCCAGGCAGGAGAAGGACAGCGCGACGGACTACAAGATCCGGCGTCCTCCCAGCCAGGTGAGCGATGGACGGTGGGAGGGGGAAGGGGACGGGTTCAACCAGGGTTTTAAACAGTAGTTGGAGTACAGGCGGAGGGGGAATCCTCGGTTGCGTCATTGGTCCGATTGGAGAGGCAAGAATCAGGACAAGTCTCTCCAGCCCCACCTGGGACACGTCGCTGGACACGTCGCTCGGGCCCCAGCTGCGGGAGAACTTGACACACCCCGGCCAATTCCAGCTCCCCTCCCCGCCCCGTGTTTTTCCGGGGGGCCTGTCCAGGCTCCGCGCGTGTCCCTGGAAGGCGGAAACGGCTGCGGGGACCCTCTCCTGGCGGAGGGGCCTGATCCTCGCCGCCATGTCCGGGGGCTTTGAGCTGCAGCCGCGGGACGGCGGCCCCCGGGTGGCGCTGGCGCCCGGGGAGACGGTGATCGGCCGCGGGCCGCTGCTGGGAGTAAGTGTGCGAGGGCTCGGCCGGACCCGAGAGCCGTGCAGCGAACGATCTCGCTCGCTTCTGCGGCCCTTTCTCTCCTGAACCTGTTCCCCACCACGCCGGCCATGTCTGGATTTTAAAAGTTTGGGGGCAGCACGTTTTTCACTCAGTCCACTCACACACGTTTCCCTTATGTTGCCTTTAAAAAGCACGGACTTGAGTTATCATCATTATCATCTCATCCGGTGGTCGGCAAACTGTGGCCCTGGGTCCAAATCCAGCCTGTTTGGATGGGCCTGCGTCCTAAGAACTTTAAGTTTTAAAGTGGAAAATGTAAACAAACAAAGAACCTGTTAGCCTTTCAGGGGAATAATTGCTCCAAGGGCTGTGGCTATTGCCTCTTGACTTGACAAACCACAATATTTACACTAGTTTCTGGCTCTTTATAGAAAAAAAGTTTGCCAACCCCTGAATTTATCTTTTCTAGAATAATTTCTTTTACGTTTTTGGCCTCTTTTGTGTGACTGATGGCCTCACTTTTATCGGAATAGTCTTTCAGTAGCTAACCCTTATGGGGTGTGTAGTGTTGCAGGCATACCAAGTTCTGTAATCTTTTCAAAACCATGGGAGTTAGGTGCTCTTTTTATCCTTATTGTTCAGATGAGAAAAATGAGTTGTAGATCGGTTATTTAAAGGCCACATGTAAGGTTTTGGACACAAAGTGGCACTAAGCTGTTTAATCTCCACCCTCTCTGGGATGTTTAAGAATTAGAAAAGTGGTCTGTTGCATTCTGAAATTTTGTAGCTCTCCTTCTAAATACTAGTACTTGCATGTTTTCTTAATCGTTAACATTTCTTTTTTAGTGCCCACTTTGTGCAACACATTCTGTAGACTCTAGCACTGTGGGGCATCCAAATATGAGACATGGGTTGATGCCCTCTAGTTTTTCTTGGACGGTGGAGACAAACCTGTGCCCGTGGGGTAATGCCAGGGAGTAATGGGTATGGACTGTTATCCTGGTTAACCTCCAGTGTCTAAATGGAACCATTGGTATTAGCCCTAGAACCCTTCTCCAAGCAGGAAAAGTGAGAAGGAAGTCAGTCCTAAAGGTGTGTGTGTGTGTGTGTTTAGTAAGGTTAAGTAAGAAAGTTGAAATTCACCTGTTGTTTATTTTTATTTTTTTACCTTGCAAGTCATTACTTAAATGTTTAAATAACATTGATACTTTTTGCCACAATTTATTAAGCTGTACAAACATTTGAAGGAACTGCCTGGGAGGTTTGTCGTCTACCCACCCTTTTCTCTCCTCTTCCTTCTTCCCTATTTCTATCTCTCCCTCTATCCATTTTATCTATCTATCATCTATCTATCTATCTATCTATCTAATCTAAGTTAGGAACTTAGCAGAGTATGTGCTTCATCTAGATCTTTTGACTGGTGACTAATTAGTTTTTTTTTTGCTTAACAAATTATATCACCAATGCAGAGTCCTATGGATCTAGTTAAAAGATGGGTGAGTTTTAGGCCTATGTTTCATAAACATGTAAGTTGCAGACCCTTTCACCATTTGTAGTTTGATCTTTTGTGTTCTAGGTTTGTTATTGTGATACTAGAGGCCCGGTGCACAAAAATTTGTGCACCTGGGGTGGGGGTGGGGGTGGAGGTGGGGGGGAGTCCCTCAGCCTGGCCTATGCTCTCTTGCGGTCTGGGACCCCTCAGAGGATGTCCACCTGCTGGCTTAGGCCCGCTCCCTTGGGGATTGGGCCCAAGCTGACAGTCAGACATCCCTCGGTGGATGTCCACTTGCCAGCGAGGAGCAGGCCTAAGCTGCAGTCGAACCTCCTTAGCGCTGCTGAGGAGGTGGGAGAGGCTCTCACCACCACTGCTGTACTGGCAGCCATCAGCCTGGCTTGTGGCTGAGCAGAGCTCCCCCTGTGGGAGCGCACTGACCACCAGGGGGCAGCTCTTGCATTGAGTGTCTGCCCCCTGGTGGTCAGTGTGTGTTATAGTGACTAGTCATTCCCAGTCCTTCTGCTATTAGGGTCAATTTGCATATTACCCTTTTATTATATAGGATAGAGGCCAGGTGCATGGGTGGAGGCCGACTGGTTTGCCCTGAAGGGTGTCCTGGATCAGGGTGGGGTTCCCGCTGGGGGCCTCGCCAGCCTGGGTGAGGGACTGATGGGTGTTTGCAGGCTGCCCAAACCCTCTTCAGGGTGGGGGTCCCCTCTGGGGTGCCTGGCCAGCCTGGGTGAGGGGCTGAGGGCCGTTTTCAGGCTGCCCAAACCCCCTTCAGGGTGGGGGTCCCCACTGCGTGCCTGGCCAGCCTGGATGAGAGCTGATGGCTGTTTTCAGACTGACCAAGCCCCCTGGCGACTGAAGCTCCCAGCCTTTCCTTTTTTTTTGTTTTTTTATTCACTCCAGCTCCGTGGCCATGGCGACTGGAAGCAGGTATCTGGGGTTTATTTACCTTCTATAATTGAAACTTTGTTGCTTTTGAGTGGAGCTCAGAGCTGGCTGCGGCAGGCTGGCTTCCTCCATCACTGGAGCAAGCAAGCCTCCTGCTCGCTCCAGCTCTGTGGCTGGTGGCCACCATCTTGGTTGGGCTAATTTGCATATAGTAGCTCTGATTGGCTGGTGGGTGCTTAAGGCATAGGGAAGGTACAGTCAATTTGCATGTTTGTCTATTATTAGGTAAGATGAGCCTATTTGACTTCTGTTTTTGAAAATTATAAGGAGTAGGGGAGAAACCAAATTGCAGCTGAGAACGCCAGTGTCTTTTTCAATCGGGAGGGAGTCCAAGCTCCTGACGGCCCTGACTCCAGATCCTGGTGAGTCTCTGGGGACCCAGACTCATATGGGGAGAAACTGGACTGTCTGGCAGTGGGCGGAACTCAAGGGCGGCTTTCTCTCAGAGGTGCTTGCAGCAATTACCGGGACACTGAGACCTGGGGGCCTCTTAGGGCAGGACTGAGGAGCAGCCATAGCTGTTTGCTCCGCCCTGTTGATTCCCTGAAACCCCCCCCACACCTAAGCTGCGAGCAGAGGCTTTTGCATATGAATGGGCTGGCCCTTTGAGTTCTAAAATTACCTAACAAACTGCAGCTGGGTCAGAGAGACCCAGAACATCCAAAAAAAGGCTTAAGGCCCCACAGCAGCTTGCATTGCTTCACAGCTGGGCCTCATCTGAGCACCTCCAAACCCCAAACAAGGAAGAGGAATCTGCAGATCTCTCCATAGCTCCTGCTGGGTAGCCTCAGGCAGAGGCTAAATTAGCACCTGCTTAGAGATCCAAGAGCCCGTGTACCTAGTGGTCAGAGTGGGATCATCCAGATTACAGCTCCTCAGATCCATAAGGGACACACTCAGGGGGCAGATTCAGTGAGCACCAATGCCCCACTGAAGCAAGTCTTGCCCCATAAGGGTGTCTTCAGCACAGAAGTTCTCCCACTGCAGACACAGCTGATTATCACAGACCATTGGCCTGGATGTCAATTCCTCCCAGTGATACCAACAACAACCAAAGCTTAACTACAACAAGACTGAGCACAAAGCCCACAAAGGGGTGCACCAAGAGTGTCCACCTCAGATAATTGGGGAGGCTGAGCCACTGGCCCCTATAGGACACCTAGCACACAAAGCCACTCTACCAACACAGGGAAGCATAAAAAATGCGCAAAGAAAGAGATCACAAATGACAGAAATGGAGGAAAGCAAACTACTGGATATAGAGTTCAAAACCACGGTTATAAGGTTTTTCAAGAATTTTCTAGAAACTGCTGATAAATTTAGTGAGACCTTCGAGGATATGAAAAAGGACCAACTAGAAATTAAGCATACACTGACTGAAATAAAGAATAATATACAGAGTTCCAAAAGCAGACTAGAGGATCCCAAGAATCAAGTAAAAGATTTGAAATATGAAGAAGCAAAAAACACCCAACCGAAAAAGCAAAAAGAAAAAAGAATCCAAAGATATGAAGATAGTGTAAGGAGCCTCTGGGACAACTTCAAACGTACCAACATACGAATTATAGGGGTGCCAGAAGAAGAGAGAGAGCAAGATATTAAAAACCTATTTGAAGAAATAATGAGAGAAAACTTCCCCTACCTGCTGAAAGAAATAGACTTGCAAGTCCAGGAAGTGCAGAGAACCCCAAACAAAAGGAATCCAAAGAGGACCACACCAAGACACATCATAATTAAAATGCCAAGAACAAAAAACAAAGAGAGAATCTTAAAAGCAGCAAGAGAAAATAAGACAGTTACTGACAAGGGAGCACCCATATGACTGTCAGCTGATTTCTCAACAGATACTATGCAGGCCAGAAGGGAGTGGCAAGAAATATTCAAAGTGATGAATAGCAAGAACCTACAACCAAGATTACTTTATCCAGCAAAGCTATCATTCAGAATTGAAGGTCAGATAAAGAGCTTCACTGATAAGAA